CTAAACAAGTTGAGACAAGTGCTTGGAAAAATACCCAACAAGCACTTCATTAGTAACACCACATGCATATATCTAATCAGCCAATGACATGGCAGTTACTTAGTGAATTTAGGCAAGTAGACATGGTCAAGACAACCTGCTGAAAAATATCCAGTGAGTAGCAGTTCTCTGGGTGAAAAATCCTAGCTGTTTGAGCAAAGAGGAAGGCAAAATAAATCAAATAACCACTTGTCACAACTAAGGTATGCAGAAGATCATCTGTGAAGCAACAACATGTCAAATCTACTGCTGTAGCAGATGGGTGAAAGCACCAGGGGCCATTCCTGTCAACTGTGGATACAAAACTGAGGCCACAATTCATAAGGACTCATGAAAACGGGATAATAAATGATTGGAAAAATGTTGCCCGTCTGTTGAATCTCAATTTCTGCTGTGACATTTGGATGGCAGGTTCAGAATTCGGTGTAAACAATATGGAACCATAGAACCATCCAGCCTTGAATCAATATATGGGAGATATTTTCTTGGCAGACTTTGCGCCCACTGTTATCCGATGAGCACTTATTAAAAACTACAACCTACCTGAGAATGTACATATGTTCTGATGGGTGTATCCAGAGTCCAGGATTATGTGGTGTGATGATTGAAAACCAGTTTTAAATCATCCAAAATGCATGATTTTACCATGTCAATATGATCACAAACTCTCAGGAATGTTTCCAGCACTGTGTTGAATCTATGCCATGAAGAATTAAAGCAGTTCTGAAATCAAATGAGATGCCAACCCAGTAAATGTCAATGTAAAGTCCATGTTGGCCTTCCAAGTTTTGCAAATATGTGGACCCAGCTGTCTTTCCAGTTTATGCAGGTTTTGTGCTAAACAGTACAAGACAAGCTCTCAGGTGATGAGGGGTAATTGCCAGTTTACATAGATTACTACGAATTTTTTACTGTGTCTAACACCTCAAGAAAAACCATCCACCACCACAAAAAAGAATCAGTGAGATAATCTAAAGCACTTGGATTATTACACTCCATCTGCCAAAGTAAGCTTTCTTTTCTTGGCAACTTTTTGGCTGTATAATTTAAACTTTTTTTTCCTCAAATTGTTCCAGTGGACACTCTTCATGTTCATTTATCAGCTGAATGTTTGTCTTCAAACATAAGGAGAGTGATGGAATTACGCAACTCTGGTATTCACTCATAGTTACACTTTGTTTTGAATTTGCCAGCAGCAAAGTACTCCTCAAACACTGTTAACAAGGAAGCAAATTAATCAAACTAAAAAGAGGCCTCTGAGAAAAAGACCCAGTCAGATAATATCATCGGGGCTCCATTCACACAAACAGCCTGTGGCTACATGACAGAAATCAATCAACTTAACCAACTGAAAGCTTTCGCCCTCATCAAAGGGCTCGTCAGTCTTCTGAAGTTCAGAGAAGCTTAAACACCATTATTGGCAACGGCGTTACTGACAGATGGTGAGAGGCTGCCACTTTCAAGGAAACAATAAGTGCAGGTGTGAATGCTTCCTTAAGATGTTGGATTTTTACTCTTGGATGCCATCTGATAGGACTTCATTGAAGACGCGCTAAAATTGAACAATACAGATTTGCGGCTTTGAAAAAAAATAAAAAATAAATAAATCTAAATTATGCCTCCCTCCCAGTTAAACATTGCCTTTGAGCATAACTGTGATTGAAAAATATACTTCAAAATATACGTCTGCTCGTGTTTTTTCAGGCATGTCGCCACTGCTGTTCGAGATTGTTGAGCGTGAACTCAAGAAAACATGTGACAACATGATTCATTAATCTTCCCTTAAAACATTTTCTAACACAAATGTGTTCATTAAATATTTACATGTATCACAATTGATTTATTTTCTTTTACAACAAAAGACTGTTTTGTTTTCTATCTAGCAAAGTAATTGCCAGTGCAAGCCCTCCCATGTCACAACATGCAGGAAACATTAATTTAAGTATGCAATAAATGCACAACATGGTTATGGTGCTTGCATCAGCAATCAACAGAGTAAAACCCAACACAGAGCTATAAATCAGTTTACTGTTAATGCATTTTTGGTGGGACCAGCAGAACAGGCTGACACAGAGGCATAAATCTGGAATTCAACAGCAGTTTCAAGGACCTCTGTATGCTTATCTAGTGCAAAGATTTTAAAATAATCTCACTGGCTAAAACAAACCACACTTGAATACAGCTGCTCTACAACATAAGAAAATAAATAAAAGTATATCACTCTATATATTTGGACCTAAAATAGTACAAGGAGGATATTAAGAGCTCTGCAAGACAAGTCTATCATCTGGTCTAACAATGAATGGCATTGTTAAACAGGGTTTACTGGTGGAATTTCATGCCTTCTTAATGGGACTATCGGTTGTGTTGTGCAGAAGTCAGGTTGGGACACAGCTGACGTCCCTATTTGACACCTGTTAGAATTAATATTATAGCAAGAACCAATCAGCTAAGTAAAGAGAAATGACAGTCCATCATTACTTTAACTGAAGGTCAGTCAGTCTGGAAAACTCCAAAAACTTTGAATGTGTCTCCAAGTGCAGTCGTAAAAACCATCAAGCGCTATGACGAAACTGGCTAACATGAGGACAGCCCCAGAAAAGGAAGACCAAGACAAATTCATCAGAGTCACCAGCCTCAGAAACCGCAAGTTATCCTCAGATCAGAGCCCAGATAAATGCCACACAGAGTTCCAGTAGCAGACACATGTCTACATCAACTGTTCAGAGGAGACTGTGGGAATCGGGCCTTTATGGTTGGTCCCATCATTTATTTCTTAAACAGGACAGTGACCCCTAAAACACCTCCAGGCTGTGTAAGGGGTATTTGACCAACAAGGAAAGTGATGAAGTACTACGCCAGATGACCTAGCCATGGGATGAGATGGAATCGCAGAACAAGTACTTGTGATCTCTGGTAACTCCTTCAAGACTGTTAGAAAACCATTTCAGGTGACTACCTCTTGAAGCTCATCGAGAGGATGCTAAGCGTGTACAAAGCAGTAATCAAAGTGAATGGTGGCTATTTTGAAGAATCTAAAATATAAAACATGTTGAGTTATTTCACACTTTTTGTTTACTACATAATTCCATATGTGTTCATTCATAGTTCTGATGCCTTCAGTGAGAATCTACAATGTAAATAGTCATGAAAATAAAGAAAAACCATTAAATGAAATGATGTGTCCAACCATTTGACTGGTAGTGTATATATACAAAAATTATAAAAAACAAAAAGCAAAAGCTTAGTTTCTAAACAGTGGTGAGTGGTTGCAAAGGTGCACAAAACAAAAACCACAGGTCTTAACAGTCCCTTTGCTTTTTTAAAAATTTCTATCTGACAATTCATGTCAAACAGAAAACCTTTTTTACAACCTCTAGCCTCAGGCTCGGATATTATATAGGACACAGCAGTTGAATATGAGCAGTTATTAGAATCTGGACTGAGGTTTTGTGTTGCTGTTTTCACTCTGGATCTAGTGAGTGGTCTCTTGTTCCTTGAGGTTACTTAAGGACTGTCACTGGTGTATGTGGATAATCAGTCCCCATGGGGAAAGGGTGAAAGAGAAAAAAATGCAGGAGTGGTGTCACTTCACTCTCACCTTTTCAGCTTTTGCCCCTAATCCACCTTGGAAATTCTAGGTCAATAGTGGCTTTTTAAAGATGTGATTTGAGCCTCTGAGGACTTTGGAACTACTAAATAGGCCTGTAATGGCGCCTGACACGCTTAAAGAGGATCTGTCACTTTTAATGAAGTCAATGACATACGCAGGTTAGTCAGTGTATTAAAATACCAACGGGCACAGAAGTAGTAAAAAAGGAAGTTTCACTTCATATTACTTCCTATTAACTATGAGAAACATTACCACTAACTTTTGTGCTGTTTTGTGTGTTTCAGGTAGTTTTTCGTTGTTTAATTCAAATGTTAATCTGGTATTATTGGCCTTAAGGACCAACACAAAGGTGCTTTAAGAAACTGATGTGATCATTCCAAAAAAAAAAAAAAAACACTGATGCCCTTCAGAAAAAATGTTTAAAAAAAGAAAAGAAAATCACAAATCATATCATCAGCACTGACAAAAATGTTGTACTATAGAGGCCCCATAATCCCAGTCTACACCCCTGCTACCCTGAATCACAAACTTTAGAAAAAGCGCTGTGGCACTCCGAACTGTTATCCCTTTATGGAAACACACAAAGTCACGCCTGCACTCGACCAACATGCAAATTATAACCACCCAGTCATCAGTGTTTTGAAGCCTGACAGGAGGACAGCTCACTGCATGATGACAAAGTCAAACGCAATGGGGGCAGGCAAGTGTCGTGATTGAAATTCTCTCAGAACAAAACCTCGTTTGTGTGATTATTGTTCACCGGGCTCGCAATGAGGCAAAAATCCATTCCACATGATGCATTCATTGTTTGCAGCCAAACACGCACCAGGCCTCATAGCGACCAAAGCTACTGTACACAGGCCCTCACCAAAAAACAACAGAAAGCCTTCTTCAACATTTAGGAAGGTCTGGTGAAAATGCGCACAAAATAAATAGCCAGTGTCACTTGGAAGAATTCTGTATTATTGCAGATAGGAATGAATTATCTTTTTCCATTTTATTTTGAGGACAGTTATTTTAACTCATGTACTGATAATTGTTAACATAATAATAATTTAAACAGCTCATACTGACATAATATGCACACCTGCAAGGGAACTCTAACCCATCCCGGGGACTTCACAGGAACACAGTGACGATGTGTTTTTAGGATCCGAGTCAAATTACTGTCACCTTTCAACAGGTGACGAAGCAATAAAACAAACTGCCTTTTAAAGGGGCAGACGCTGCAGGTACAAACCAGTAACTAGGGCCATGCGATGACAACGAAACACCTGCGCGAAAGGGAAGGAAAGTGGTGGAGAGGTGACACAGCGTTTGGGTTCGCTGCTGGTACTCCGTGACTCACCTCTATCCATTTCTGCGCCTCCAGAAACGCGGACTGTGCGGCCGACTCGTTCACGGGGTGATGCTGATGAGACTGTCCTATGTCTGCAACCGGACTTGCCATTGGCGAAGAAGCTGTGTCCTGCAGATATGTATGAAAGCAGCTTGGTGCAGCGTTATTCCACCGAAATTGGTCGTCAAATGCGTCGGCCAGTCTGTTTTCCCCTGATTGTAGAAGGTGCTGTAGCAGCAGCAGCACCGGTAAGACGGACGAACCAGTTGCTGCTCCCGTATCGCTCCTGTTAAGAGTATGTGGGCAAACAACCAGCTTCCAAGCCAGAGAGAGTCGTCAAACACAGGAATTCCGGTGGGAGATCTCAGAATAAAAGCTTTAGTGGAGGACCAGGAAATTCAAATTTATCAAAAATAATAATACAGTCCAGTAAATTGAGTATAAACCCACCATCAAATTGCATTATTTATCGCTATTAGAATTATGTATTTATACTCCAGCCTACTTCTTTTCAATGCTGCAAGAAAATGAACATTGTTTCTGAGAGTAATCACAAACTGATATGATTGAAAAATATCTCACTTTTAACCAGGCTTAAAGGGAGAACTCTGTTTATGCCTGTCCTGTAACTGTTCAGTCACAATTTCTACATCCCACCTTTGGCTGACAGAGTTCAGTGCTACACTACAGTCATTCAGGGTAAGGTAGCATGTGTTTCTCAAAGATAAATATCCAGTTACATAGATTGATTCACCATACACTAACCCAGCTTTTGAAATTAAATTAAGTTAAAAAAAAAAGTCGCAGTCTTCTTTCTTAAGAAACATAATGACTATCAGAAGTAAACATTATTTCATTATCATTATTTTGGCAATGCAAACACAAAAAGTGCATATTTATTTACTTATGTATGATTTACACATCATACATATGATGCATATGATACAATGTTTCATTTTGATAGCATTAATGGTTCAACAATATGTTGCCAAGTATGTTTCATTTCTTTCTAGAGCTGGTCATCTCCATGGTTACAGGCTTCCATCCACGCTGATATGTTGTGTTTGCTCTTATTTTGATGGCACCGTGCTTTGCTTCCGGTTATAATCCAGCAGTTCTAGGTCAGCTTGATTCCGCTGGACTGATGGACTTGCACACTGCAGTATGATTAGCTCCAACGACCAAAAATACACAGAGCAGCGCCGCTTCACCGGCAGCCAACGAGGGCAGCAGCACGCTGGGGAGCTCACACCCACTTTCATTATATGGGGCAACTTAGAAAAGAGGAAGTGCACAGATTTCGAGCAAAGGCGCCTGAAACTGAGGGCCAACATTAAACTCCAGATGCTCATCCATTAACATAATTTTCCATTAACAAAACTCTACAGGCTCTATGATATAATGTATTCATATTTATCAGTTTAATTCTGTTACAGACTTCTGAGAATTGTGTTAGTCTTTAAAAAAAAAAGAACACTTTTGTAAATATAAGCAAACGAAAGTTCAGCAATGTTTCCACGCTTTTGCAACTGTTGGGTTATTCTCTTTTCACCTATTTTATCTGTTTGTCAGAGTTTTCCTTAAGGCAGTTCTACTTCTGCCATATCAGTGTTTGAAATGGAAGTTGTAACTGCTCAGTACTACCAGCTGTCCACCTGGAGCCAAAACAACCAGCAATGAGTGAAATACCCATCGGGAAATTATTTATTCGTCAAATGGCAGATTCTGCACAAAAACATTTGGAGTCGCATCCCATGCCTTGTATACTTTGAGACTTGTCAGTTCCACGACGACCCTTGAAACTTTTCAAAGCCCCGCAGACTCTTTTTCCAAATGATTGCTGGCATTCTTAACCTTCATCTCTGCTGACCTCTTGTGGAAAAAAGCAGTGGTGCAGACAGAGAGGAGGAGGAGTTTCCCAGACAGCACCATCGATTGTATGTTCTTTTTGTAGTTTAGGTGCACTCACCACGCCTGCTTCATGGATGCCACCAAACAGTGTTGTCTTTCGGACTTTAGTCATACAGAGAGTATGTAAGAGAGAAAAAAAGTGATCCGTTTATGCTGACCACCTGCTTGACTTCCACAAGAGGCAAGATGACCTGTGTTTGACAGGATGGACTCCTGGACGAGCAATATTGAAATTTGGCGAGTACTGCTTTATCCATCCATTCATCAGTTTTCTATCCGTTATCCAGGAGGGTAAGCAGGGGTGCCAAGACCTTCCTGTCTTCGGCTTTCCCTGGGGGTATTATCCCCGAATGGTTTTACAAACCGGGGAGCGTGTATAATACATACATATAAATACAAACGTACATACTCTATCCAGCAGCGTGTCTCTGTTTGTGTCCCAAGCCTGAAAAACCTGACCAGGGATTGGGAGGCGTCCACAAGGTATCCTATACAGGTAGCCGAAGCATCTCAACTGACTTATTTACTCCGAGTTGAATGAGCTCCTTACCTAAGATCATACAACCAGACACCCAGCAGCAGAAAAACCTCATTTCTGCTGCTTATCCTCACGGCCTGCTTTAATGCAAGCAACCTGTGGGCAGGTTTGAAGTGGAACGGTCAAGGTGAGTGTACGGACATAGGTCTACCATTTAATACAATTTTTTACTCATTTTGGATGAACAAATGGATTTTATTTCATTGCTTAAAATGCTATTTCACAAATTTTAATTAGCTGCGTTAATAGTTTGAAGGACTTTAAAAACTGAACTAAAAAAAAGAACACATGTTTATGGATGTGATAATGGTTATCATTAAATATAATGAATAAAGAATGTAGGCTGTACTCATTTATTTGTTTATTTTTATGCAATGATGCAGTATAGGCTACAATTATAGAATAAGGCCTCTAATAAAGATGATATTTTTGCAAAAAAGTTTGTGAATGCTCACGTTAATAAATAAGATGCAGTCTCTTTTATTTAGATATAAAATTACATTTGCGACTTGATGGTAAAATAATAAAGGTTGTGTAATTTATTTACAAGAACTCTGTGCCAAAAGAATGGAAAAGTATATGATTGCTTTCTACATCACTAGCCAGGAGCAATGCAAGACAAAAGTTGTTGTTTTTTTCCCCATAAAGTAATATGGCAGGAGTAAGAGCTGTGATTTAATAAAGAGGATAATAATAATAATAATAATAAAAATTGTTATCAAAACTACACTCAACGAAACTGAAAGCAAAGGTCATTTAAAAAAAACAAACAGCTTTTTGACCCACAGATTTGAAGGCTTTTTACAACAGCTGACCACATGTGGTTGATTGCTCTTTTGGTGCCACTGCTTCCCACCATCTTCATGGTGTCCAGCCTTTATTGTGGTATAGTTTCTATCCTGTGCCATCAAGCATTGGCCTGGGCTCTGAGGTTGGTGGGAGGGGAGGCGTGTGTCAAGAGCACACACGTCTTTGTGTTCTCTAATTGCACCCATGGCAAAGGTGACAGCGTCTTAGAGACCTTTGACCTTTATGCTGAGACACATCAGTCTCTCTGCATTGGTCCACAGATTGGTATGTAAACATTAGAAACAGTTACCGTGATAGTGCATTAAATTAGAAAGTGTCTCACTTGTACAGTTAGTGCACATACATAATGCATGACATATCTGTTGTGGGCATGGTGCTGTAATAGAAATAGGAGTTTAAGAAGTGGTAAAGCTCAAACACAATTTTAAAATAACCTTTATTAATTAATTATGAAGAGACATAATCATGTGTGGATTGTACAAAATTCTGAACGATTCCATATATTCTACAGAAAAGAACTAAATCAAGATTTAGTGTGGCCACTATTTCCCTTTAAAGCAGCAACTTTTCTCTTTGCTACAGTTCCCCTTTTTCTGGAAGTTTCTGGTGACAGGCCTTTTGTGGATTTAGGTTATCTGTGTTTTCAGTCTCATTGTGTAATGCTCAGGATTTTCCATGAATCTGTTGTGGCCAGTGCTATTCTCTATGCTGTTGCATGCTGGGGGAGCAGGTTGAGGGTTGCAGACGCCAACAGACTCAATAAACTGATCCATAAAGCCAGTAGTGTTGTGGGGATGGAACTGGATTCCCTTAAGGTGGTGTCTGAAAGGAGGATGTTGTTCGAGATTAACACAATGTTGGACAATACCTCCCACCCACTCCGTGACATGCTTGTTAGCCACAGGAGCACGTTCAGTGAGAGACTGAGATTACCAAAAAGCACCACTGAACGACACAGGGAAATCATTCCTGCCTGTGGTCATCTCCCTGGACAACTCTGCCATCTTACACACTGTAAACACTTTAATAGTTACATTCTTTTGCACAGATTCTTTTCGACTCTGTAATAGTCCTGTCAACATTCTTGGTATTTATTTATAATCACCTCTTTCAATCAGTGATATTTATTATTGAGCGATTCGTATATATTGTGCATATTTCTTAAATTTCTTAAATCTGTAACATATTGTATTGTTAAATAGTCTAGTCTGTTTCTGTTACTGTTATTTATACTGGAGCAACTGCAGCCCACATAATATCCTTAGGGATGAATAAAGTATGCTGATTCTGATTCTGATAGTCACACATTGACTTCATGATAATGACATCAAGACCCCGTGGGGCCCATTGCCTTTTCTTTTAAGACTTCTGAAAAATATATATATATATTTTTCATGCTTTTGGATATTTTCCACTTCTGTCAGAGGAAAACAATAAAAAGTAGCAGTCATTAGCTCAGTTTCTACAAACTATGTTGCTTTTGCAGATGTTACGTCCCTCTGCAGCCCCTAATCATCTCAATGTTTTCAGCTGGTGCTAATTGGCCACACCTAGTCAGGTGTAGATAAAAGCATACTGAGGCAAGTTCCCTAGGAGCTCACTTGTCTTTGCCTTGGTGGCACCAGCCATTTTAGCCAACCTGGTATTCCATTATAAGATAAAACCTCTTCTCACTAACACTCTGGTATTAATCTCTTTTTTTTATGTTGCGGCCTTTGAGCCGGGTCGTAACAGCAGAGCATTTCATACCACAACATCTTGCAATTTTACCCAACTTGCTTATGCTTTTTTCCACAAAAGTCAGAAATATAACACCTTTCTTTGAACACTGAGCATTTAGCAATGCAATGGTAAATCGTGAACTTGCTTTAAATCATTTCATTTATTTAATTTTCTTTCATTTACTAAACATTATTAGTCTGCAATTACTATATTTTGCTAAAAAGCAAGTTTGGCTGAAATGGCAGCAGGTACCTACCTTTGGTTTAGTAACCATTCCCTTAATTTATTATGTAATACATTTTTGTATTTTATATTCATTAATATAAGTTATTGTAATGTAACTTATTTATTGGGTGCATATGTTCTACATTCCACAATGTCAAAATGTTCCAAAATGTCAACTATACTCCCTGGTGTGTGCAAAGGAAATAAAGTTTGTTGTTCCTGTGGATTCAGGTGAGATACTGGATGACGTAGTGAAAAGTGTCCGCCCTTTGTGGGTGCTGGAGCTCAGAATGCACTGTGGCTACAGCTCTGGCCGTCTGCTTCGTCTGCTGCCCCATGGAGGCAGACTAATCACAGTGGTGCTGGACCCAGTCACAGCAGATCTTGGAGAGGAAATCATCCTGGTGGCTGGCTTCAAGCAATCCCAGGTACAGTGAGGACTCTAAACCAGAATATGATTAAAATATCTCTAAAAGATAACTCTCTATTACTCACTTTTCCAAACCTCCTCAGTTCCAGGTTTTTACCCAGCTCAGCTGAGGCCATCCCAACATTAAATTCTTTCAGTGATGGCATAAATCTGGTGCTAATGGACCACGATTCCCAGCAGTACCTTTTAGATCTGCTGGCCTTGGAGAGAGAGGAGCTCCTCTGCCCATCTGGCTGCACTGTGCTGTTGAATAGAGGAATCAAAGAGCCGATGATCTCAGAGGAGTCCTGGATCACACCAGAGGAAGAGTCGATTCCTACTGCATCAAAACAGAGCATCCATTTATGATGGAGATTTTTTACAGGAAGGGAAGTACAAAGGAAGTCTGCAATGGCAAAGTTTAGCTAAGATGTGGGTGTATTTTGGGGGTGTTAAATATTTCATAATCTCTAGTATGACTCATAAGGCAAAGAACTGCAATTTTGAGAAAATTTTATTATAAATAAAAAAGTGATATTAATCATCCTATTCTCAGTATTTCAAAGTCTCCAAAGATATTACAGTTTCCTTTGTGGCAGAAATAAGAAGCATTTATTATATACTTTAAATATGATCTACTTTACTTAAGCTTATTACTTCTCTGCATTTATTTCTTTTCCACATCATAGCCCCCAAAAGACAAATGACTACCTCCTATTGTTTAGCACATCCCATAAAATTTCTTAAGGTGCTTACACAATCGCCTCGCCTCAACAAAAGAAACAAAGAAAAGACATTACCTGATGTACTGCACAGACTTACCACTTGGTGGCACTCCTTCCTTAAAAAGATAACAACCTAGACCCTGAACTGTGTTTGTTATGGAAAGCGTTTAAAGGTGAATGCCACCCATTTTGTTGTAAATACATGCATATTTATTTTTGCTTTAAATTGGAAATTTAAGCCTGGCATTAATACATCCACTTTATCTTTAGTGGGGGGTTTTTTGTTTCATGCGTTTTGACACATATTTCCTCCGTTGATAAGCTGAATTTCTGTGAAAATTTAAGCAAAAACAAACAAGAAAATGAACTCAGTTGTTCTTTTCCTCCCTTTTCTGCTAAGTGACTCTAACGTCTATCAAGATTAACTGTTCCACCAAACATCTTAGATGAGGGGATTCAGTGTTTTTTCTTCTGTGCAGAACTCAGGTGGACTTTAATGAATTTGTCTGTAATGATGTTACTGAGGCTTTCAACGCAGCTGGAAAGCCATTACATGGTTTAGAGACAATTTAGTGCCTGATATAAATAAATAATATTTGTGCAATAACGATTTAATTAAATGCAATATTTCCCACAGCCTCAGGGAGGGTCTAGATTCTAGGTCGCAACTGTTGCACAAGAGAATAATGAATGTCGCAATATGTAAAATTATAAGAAGAGAGCTTACTGCAGTTAAAGAGAGACAGAAAATGAGAGTCAGGGGAAGAGCAGTGAATGAAACTACTATTATGCTACCCGTGTTCCTCTCACCCTAACTGGTTGAAACCAAAGCCCTAAGCAGTTTAACTGTTCACTCTTAATACCGAGAAAGAGCAAAACAGGTAATGGGGCAAGCCTCATTAATACTTAATAACCTCATACATAGATGATACTTTTCTTTATACCACAGGAAAAGTCATGATTGCGTTTGCGGATTTAGACTTTAAGGAAAAACACAGATTTTCAGGAAACTCTGACAGCTTGCAGATTAATAAATGTTTCTTCATCTTTACTATTGTGCATTATTTATCAGTTTAATGTTCTCTGGTTAACATGGGTACAACTATTGTTATTATTTAGCATCCTGTTGCTTCGGGCACACCATCAGCCAAAACACTGACTGAGAGGCCGGCATGTTTTATACCTTAAGTATAAATACTTGACAACAATGGTGAACATTTGATGAATGCTGCAAAAATTACACATATCTGGTTATTTCCTTTTGCCTTGCATTGCTCTTGGCTAGGGCTGTAGAAAGTGGTATATACCCTTACTTTGTACAAGTAAATAATTTATTGACGGCTCAAATGAAAACGATTTGTAAGTACCGTGGATTGAAAAAATGACATTTCATTGGCTGAAGTAATATAAAAACAATAATCTAACTTGCCCGTCAGATCAGACCCTGTTGTTTATCCACTAAAGCGAGTGTTTTGCTGTGCTATATATTGTACTGTTCATTAGTTCAAGCTAACTCTAGCCTCTCTAAGCCAGAAGACAGCAATCTTAGGGTGAGTTTTACATTCTGAAATGAAACTCCGTCCATGAATGCTCCGACCTGCTGATGTTGACTGCAAGTTTTGCCCTGATGTCGGTCCCATTTGGGCTTTGCTAGATAAAACAAGTTATCTTCTTGATAAGATCAAGTCCAATTTGGCACTTGTGCAAGTGAGCAAACTGACAAATGTATCTGGGATCAAATAATTATTTTCTCCACTGTAAATAATAACAAACAAATGAAATGGTCATTCCCCCCTTAATTCATGAACACCCTTTTGGGCCTTATGCAGATACCATAGAGTCACAAACTGGTGGATTTGCAAAATGTCATGTTTATGCATGTAACTACACAAAATAGACAATGTGTAAGGCTCACTTATTAGCTTCCAGCAACTTCTCAGCACAGAAAGCCTCCTTACTTCCCATAAGACAAGTGTAAGAGCCAAGAAGCGGTCAATTTCTCAGCTGTCAGAAGTGATTTAACATTTCCTTGCCTTGCTTACAGAGTAACACTAGTGTACATAGTGATGTACAGCCAGATGTAAACACCAGGCTCTATGACCACTCCAGCTTACACCCCTTCCTCCAACTTCCCCCCAAAATTCTCTTTTTAATGGGTTCAATTTTCTGGTCTCCTCTGTCACCAGGCTATGAACTGCACTCTGTGCTGTGGTGGCTGGAGAGCGGATGTAAACACAGCTTTCAATTATAAATCAAACCCTAAAAGAGCCATGTTCTGCTGCCCTCAGGCTCTATGCACAAAGGCCCAGCCTTCATAGCAAAACACTTCACATTGCACTGATGGGAACTTCTGCCCTTCTATTTACCAGGATAAATTCAAAACAGAAACTTGTTCAGTGTCTGTGAGTGTCAAAGTTACTCAGAGGATGTTATGCTGATCTTTTGCACTGGCTTGCCTACTACTGTGTGACATCTATGATTTTATACGACACTATTAAACATGACCGAATGTAAGATTGCACCTTAAACATCACAGTTTATTATGATATGTAGATTACAACACTGTAAGTCAAACCAAATAGTAGTGTGCAGTGTATTTTCACAAGTTGCTGCAAACATCAACATATTATATCATGAGCTAAGGAGATATACAGCACATCCTAAAAGTATTAGCCTCAAGTATTTAGACATAGAGCAACCGAGGGCTTCAAATTTAAGCCCATCATTACGTTAGATCACTGTTTTACTCTGATGGAGTCATACTTGCCACAATACACAGGTCATTGTCAGCTAACTGTGAACAACAAAAGGCAAAAGTGCAAAATGGAAAACAAAGATTTGAGTTGTCAGTGTAAACAAAGGTTATCTATATCTATATATCTATATATATATATATCCATATATATATATATATACATACATAATATTAGGCCTAGCTCATCTATTTCACAACCAAGGTGGTTTATACCTGCACCAAAATAACCTACATCTACAATATGGTCACGGGATTATTTTCATCTTAACATCAGCATGGGTGCTTTTTAAATTCACGCCATGTTTCTTCTCAGGCAGTGAGGGAAAAAAAAGCTTTGCCCTCTGTGCTTAGTTCATCAACTGGAGTGGGCAGAGCAAAAGAAGAGTGAGTGTCTTGATGGTCTCTCCTGAGACCAAGTGACTTCTATATTTGGTACGCTGTGATAGCTCGTGATCCCGCCTCACGGGCCACCACCATCACACACAAACCAGCCTGCTCACTCTTCACCTTGGGGTTGTGAAATGGTGCTGTGACACAAGCTTAAATTTAGACTGTCCTGCTCTTTTGAGATATTAGAGTGAGTTTACAGTAAGAGAATACAACAGTCTTAGGGTTTGTTACTTTACTTTTGAAAATGAACTAAATTATTACACATTTTTTTCAACTTATTAATATTAAAATATCTCTGGCAATTGTGCTAAAACCCAAAGAGATGTTTTAGAATGTAACATGCTTATTTAAAGTTCACCTGAATAAATAAAAGAAAGATTTGCTTTGAGATAAATATTTTACCTGGATCATCGAAGCCACAATAAGAGGAGTTCTGTGTTACCTGTTCCTTTACTTCCTATCATTTCGATAAGTGTCAGCGATTGAAGAATGAAAACACTTGAATTCTCTCTTATAATCTGTAGAGGGATCTGATAATGTGAAGTGACTCTGCCACCCGCCTTTGGCCCAGACTTTAACCTACACACATACACTGCACACACACACACATGAATTCAACCTTCCCTGTGGTGAGAGGGAAGATTGAGAGAAAATAGACCTCCTACTGTGTGGTGTCTTAAGAGGACTGAAGCCTCTCAGAATGCACTTTGTCTGTTGAAAGACCTCCTACGCTTGGGATTTTATTTTTTTTAGTGAAAAGCAACACACATTGTCCATCTCTTGCTTGTAATTCAAATTTGTTGAGGGAAGATGTCATCAGACATTTTCACCAAAATGATGGCAATATTTCTTCTTTAGAAATATAAAACAGACGGCATTTTGTCAACATATCATCTCACCTGTTTGGACTACATTGTGAATTTGTATAAATGCAAATGTTACTACAATTAATGAAAATCTGGATTTTATACATTAAGATGGGAGAAAATCAATGTTTTACACAGTATTGAAAATAACAAGCTTATCTCCTTGATGGTTGCTAGCTATATACGTTACCTTGTTTAATGCTTTGCTAATTACTTGGAAAATTGCCTAATTAAGCAGCAACTGAATAATGTAGCACAATGCCCTTGGTTTGTCACTGAGGGCCTTTGTTGTGTGTCAACACCCTCCCCTCCCCCACAGTTTCTGTCAGTTGCCAAACAAAGACAATAAAACGCCTCCTCATTTTAATGAACTTAATTATAGCCTTTATACATTAAAGATTTCAATGCTTACCAATGTTGATGTTTGTGAAGCTGATATTAAAACTAAACCTCTCAGAGACATAGCAGAAAGATGCACAGCTACGTTCACCATCAGATTGTTACAAATAAATACTCTCATTCATCATTATAGTTGCATATATTGTAGGTTGGCACTATTATAAGCCTGCATTAGGAGATTTTAAATTGACAAAACTGCTTTGTTTCTGTGTATGTTTAGTAGTTTGCTTTGGTAATCTTCATGCTATTATGCCAGTTATAGAATATGAACTATTATAAAAGCATATAATCAGAATAAGACATGAGAAGCTTTTGACCAGTTATTTTTGTGTGGCTCAGCCCATAAAGGAAAAAGAAAGGAAGAGAT